GAAAGAGAATGCAGATCTTCATGTGTATTTACATATTTTATACATATATACATTTGATCTCCCCTGCCTAAAATGGTACAGCCCAGCCACTTATCATGTGGGATGTTTGCTCTTGTGTTTTAGTTTGGAAATCCTGATGCTGACCCTGTGATAGATGAGGAACATGAGCCCACCCACCTGCCTCCGTTTAATTTGAAGTGTTTTTAATCTGTGACTAAGATAATCGATTGGTTGCACCGATTAAAATATGCACGCTTGCTGCTTCCCTTGTCCTCTTTTCAAAGGGCAAATGGATGATTCCCTCCCCCCTTGTTTCAAGGCAATAGTGAAAACAGCAGTAAAAAAAAATCCCATTTCAAACTTTGCTAAAAGGGAAAGAGGGGACCCATTTGTTTTTGCTGGATTTCATATTTGAAATTGCCATGCTTCTTTCGGAATGGGAACAAAATAGGGAGGAAGGGGCCAGGGTGTGAGGGTGGGGGAAGAACTCCAGAATATAAGGAATAAAAGATATTTACAGCACTAGAATGTCCTCATGGAGATGCCTTGCTCAGATATTTAATCTGTCACTAATTCAAAGCAGAGGGGAGAATAATCGGACTGTCAGAAAAGAAGGGAATCTTGCTGTGAAACTAAATCAAGACATAAACATTTCACAAGAGAAGTTCTAATAGAACTACGTCGTGCCTCTTCAGATACATAAAAAGGGCACTCCGGCAACCTGAAGCCTGAATATGATCGGAAACTGCTATGGGGATGGGCAGAACTGAGGTAGCTGAAACCAAGATGGTGTGCCATCTGAAAACAGGCTAAAACCCTCTAGGAAGCTAACAAAATAATGTTTTGTTTTTTTTAAATGACACTTGGTACACCCAAATTACATCTACCAACAAGTGAGGGACCAAAGCCAAGTAGTGAACGGAGCAAAGATCAGGTTGTAGATGGTATAGGGCCTCCATTCTTCAAAAGGTATGGAGCCTCAACACCATCATTTATAGAGAACGTTTAATGGGGCAACCAGCTGTACCTTCAAAGAAAAGCTGGAAAGCCGGCAGCCAAAAAAGCTGGGGATCTGGCAGAAAAAAGCTGGTGGCCAAATCTGCCAAATCAGTTCATTCTTACACACCTTCCTAAACTCACTCTTGTAGGCTGTTCTAGAGACTGAACCCACCGCAGAAAAAGCCTTTGACCTAGCTATTCTTGTATAAACTGAACCAAGGGAGGGAGCCATAAGAAGAAGGCTATCTGAATAATTTAGCTAGCCCATGGGAGCCTATTGGGAGATGCAGCTGGATCAGTGCAAAGGTTTTAGATACAAATGCAACAGGCATAAGGAATCGCCTCTCATCTCCCACAAAAGGCAGCCAGCTCAGTTACTATCCGTCACCACAGTCCATCAAGAAGTGTTTCCTATTATTTTACCTTTGCTGTTATTGATGTTGACTATTTACAGTTTCCTGCCTGGGTAATCTCGCTTCCACAGATGAAATTGTTTCCCATCAACAGCTTATGCTATTTCGGGAGTCTGCGACGACAGTCCAGTCTTCCTATTTTCTGAAAAATTACAAAGAGCAGGAAGTGCATAAGAAGGGAAGCCAACATCTCCCTTTTCACTCTCAACAAACATGCCATTAAAAAAAAGAACCCCACTGAAAAAGCAGAGATATTTAAAAAAAATAAATAACATAATGAGTACAATCATCTCTTGCCAGGGGTCACTCAAGATGCAATTGAGATCATGGCTTTCCCAGCATCTTTAAAGCAAAATGTCAAGTGTGTGTGTGGGGTCCCTAATGAAGAACAAAGCTGTACAGGAGGGGACAGAGGGATTAAACTTTCCATCCCCCACATGCTTTTACCTATTGACCATGTAGCACCATCCTCCCCCAAGCTCTCCTATTAGTCTTGAAAGCAAACAAAGAAAGGCAGCCTTCTTTCCCCATCTTCTTTCTGTCCTAGGATCAGGGCTTTTTTTGTAGAAAAAGCCCAGCAGGAACTCATTAGCATAATAGGCCACACCCAACAACAGAAACTTATTAGCATATCCAGCCACACCCATGAGAGCATAGCTCATTAGCATATTAGGCTGCACCCCCATGTTACCAGAAGTATAGTAATCCAGCCACACCCACCTTTTGCTTCTTATTCTGTTTACCTTGTTTGTTGCCAAAACCCAGGGCTTTTTTGTAGCAGGAACTCCTTTGCATGTTAGGCCACACACCCCTAACGTAGCCAATCCTAATGAGTTTCTGCTATTGGGTGTGGCCTATTATGCTAACGAGTTCCTGCTGGGCGTGGTAAACTTGGGAGCCAGCCGGAACTCCGTTCCTGTGCGTTCCTGCCCAAAAATAGCCCTGCCTAGGATACTAGTAGGAGTGTTTCCGTGGGGTTTCAAAAGGTGAATCTATACAAGGATTGAAGCTTTAAACCTCATCTCTCCCCGTCCCTAAGTGGTCCCAATTTGGATCCAGGCCCCATTTAAAAAGGAAAGGAAAGATATGGTCATGGATCCTTCAGAGTCCTGCCTTTGGTGATTATTAGTTAATATACAGCCACTGAAAATTTCTTTTTACAAGATTGCATCAAGCCCTCTTTGTAAACAGAGAAGTTGACATGATGTAGAATATCTGAGTGATGCATAAATATTGATCACTTGACAGTGTACCTTTTATACTGGTGCCAACTGCCAGGAGTCTGGGTGTGCGTCTCTGGATGCCTCCTTATCAATGGAGGCCCAGATTATAAATGTTGCTAGACTGGTGTCTTTCCAGCTGCACCAGGTCAAGCAACTGCCCCCCTTCCTGTCTCACCCTGACTTTGCCACAGTAATCCATGCAATGGTCACCTCCAGGTTAGACTACTGTAATTCACTCTATGCAGGGCTACCTCTGAGGCTGACCCAGAAACTACAACTGGTCCAGAAATCAGAAGCCTGGGTTCTTACTGGAACCCCATTGACAGCACACATTCAACTGGTACTTTGCCAACTGCACTGGCTTCAGGTTAAATTCCGGATCAAGTTCAAGGTTTTGGTAGTAACCTTTAAAGCAGGGGTGTCGAACTCGTTTGTTATGAGGGCTGGATCTGACATAAATGAGACCTTGTTGGGCGGGACCATGTGTGTCATAAAATGTAATGCCAGGTAGCAGAGATATAAACTTTATAAAAGGACACAAACACAACGATTTTTTTACTTAAAATAAAAAAATGCTTCAAACATTAGTTCTTTAAGCTGCAAACCTACTTTTGATTTATTGACATTCACCACAGAAATCTCATGCTCAAAGTTCTGAGTCTAGGATCCAGGTAAAACATGAAATGGCTGAGTGATTGAGAGTCTGGTGAAGCAAGCTATGATGCAGAAGCAGCAACATTAGAACTGGAAGCAGGAGATGGCCAGTTCCACTGTGGGCCTGATGGAAGCCCTCCGGGGGCCTGAACCCCTGCTCTAAAGCCTTAAATGGTCTTGGACCAATGTATCTACGGGACCACCTCTCAGAGCATTACGCTCTGGGGAGACGAACCTCCTGGTGATCCCTGGCCTGAAAGATATCCGGCTGTCCTTGACCAGAGCTAGGGTCCTTTTGGATCTGGCACCAACCTGGTGGAACTCTCTGTCTAATGAAATCCATGCCCTGCAGGACCTAGTGCAGTTCCACAGGGATTGCAAGACGGAGATGTTTTGCCAGGCCTATAGTTGAGGACAGCAACAGCCTTCCACCGAGCCTGGCCTCCCCCATCTTTTCTCTCTTTGCATGGTCAAAGCAATGGTATTCCCAGTAGTCATGTATGGCTGCGAGAGTTGGACTATAAGGAAGGCCGAGCGCCGAGGAATAGATTCTTTTGAACTATGGTGCTGGAGAAGACTCTTGAGAGTCCCTTGGACTGCAAGAAGATCAAATCAGTCAATCCTAAAAGAAATCAACCCTGACTGTTCCCTGGAAGGCCAGATAATGAAACTGAAGCTCAAATACTTTGGCCACCAAATGAGAAGGGAGCACTCACTGGAGAAGACCCTGATGCTGGGAAAGATTGAAGGTCAAAGAAGACAGGAACGGCAAAGGATGAGATGGTTAGACAGTGTCATAGATGCAACGAACATGAAACTGAGCAAACTTCAGAGGACAGCGGAAGACAGGAGGGCCTGGCGGGAGATGATCCATGGGGTCGCGAAGAGTTCTAAGAAAGAGGAGAGAAAAAGAGAAATGTAACTGTCTAACTAGCTAGGAGAGAGTCATTAACGAACAGATTTCAGCAGGCGCAGGAAAAAGAGACCCAACTGAGTCAATCAGGAGACTATTTGAAGATAGTAGGAAATTCCTAACCTCACTATGCTAACTAATTGTCCCCTCTGCTGCCCCCTGCAGGATGTTCTTGTCATTGTCTTTATCTATGCATAGTAGACCTTGTATATTCCAACAAATATGACAACTTCTTAAGCCAAATGAAAGAGTTTATTTTAGCACTTATATCATTATTTTATACTTTTGTAGCGATACTTAAGTTTATTAACATCATACATTTTAAAAACTTGAACTTGAAAAGGAGACTTACGGTATGTTTGTGCCTAACTGAGAACCAGTTTGGTGCAGTAGTTAAGTGCATGGATTCTAATCTGGGAGAACTGGGTTTGATTCCCCACTCCTCCACTTGCAGCTGCTGGATGACCTTGGGCAAGCCATAGTTCTGTCAGAGCTGTCCTTTCAAGGACAGTTCTGGAAAGAGCTCTCTCAGCCCCACCTACCTCACAGGGTGTCTGTTGTGGGGAGGGGAAGGGATAGGAGTTTGTAAGTCACTCTGAGACTCCGAGTGAAGGGTGGGGTATAAATCCAATCTCTTCTTCTTCTTCTAAAAGAAATCTTTAGAGATTAATTTACAAACTAGGATGAATTGCTTAGTCCCAGGACTTCCACTGAATCCCATTGTTTTCCCTCCCTTCCTTAGGAACACTTCACCGAAGTAATAAAAAATCAGGAGTTTCTCTTGCTGCCGGCCAGCGAAATTGCTAAACTCCTGTCCAGCGATGACATCAACGTTCCCGATGAAGAAGCCATATTCAAGGCCTTAATGATGTGGGTTGGTCACGACCTGCAGAGCAGGCAGAGAGAGCTTGGGATGCTTCTCTCCTATATCAGATTGCCCCTGCTCTCCCCACAGGTGGGTGGAAACATCGGCTGTGGGGGTGATGCATTCTCAGGATGGGGAAGCTGGGATAGCCCAAGAAGTAGGTCTTAAGGAAGGGCCTAAAGGCAAAAAGAGAAAGATGAACATGAACATAATAGCCTCACTTTCCACCAGGATTCTCTACAGTTGAAGAATGAGGCACTGCTCTCCATCCCTGCATCTTTGTGGAAAGCTATACCTTGTCTTAGAGTGTCAACCAGTCCAGTGAATCTGTACCTTCTTGCTTAAAGAAAGGGACCCCTTTCCCAGGGAGATCACAGTCCGGTGCTCTAGCCACACAAATAGAGGGGAAGGGGGGGAGAAGATAATCTTCCAATTATTATGGCATAATTATTTTGGCCCTTCTATGTCCCAGCTCCTGGCAGATCTGGAGAACAGTCCCATGTTCACCAATGACCTGGAGTGCCAGAAACTTCTCATGGAAGCTATGAAGTATCACCTCCTACCAGAGAGGCGGTCTATGATGCAGAGCCCTCGTACCAAGCCGAGGAAATCCACTGTGGGCTCCCTTTATGCTGTGGGGGGCATGGATGCTACCAAAGGTGATCTTGCAAATAGTTCAAATAATCCAGTCTTGATCTTGATTTATTTTTTAAAAATTTGTTTGCATTTGAAGTGGTAAGGCAGAGTGAGTTATCCACTAGGAAACGGCAGCTTTTGGCCATGGTCAAGGATACTGGAATACGGCATGGTTGTCTAAGGGGCCGATAGTGAATTAGTGCCTTCCTCTCTTTTCCTTTATCAAAGTGCACCTGTTGACTGTATTTTAGTTTAACCCCATGGAGGAGGTGATGCCATGGCTGTGTCTTGCACATACACGTACCCTAGCCTGTGGTGACTTAAGGAGTTTGGTCATCTGAAGCAGCTGATGTGGTAGCGGCGAGCACTGCCTCCTCACCATCTTCCCTATGCTGACACTGCCCATGCCCAGGAGCCAAAGGAGGGAATTCCCCCTTACCTCCTTGCTCCCCCTGTTCTAGTGCAGAAAGCCTTGCATGCCCACTACGGCCTCCCGAACCTTAGAGACACTACTCAGGGCTTTTTTTGGAGAAAAAGCCCAGCAGGAACTCATTAGCATAATAGGCCATACCCAACAGCAGAAACTCACTAGCATATTAGGCCACACCCCTGACAGCACAGCTAATTAGCATATTAGCCCACACCCCATGCCTTCCCTTGGCTTGCCTGGGTGCCCTGCGGCTGCAGGGAGCCTGGTCAAGCCAGCCCTTGGACAGGCCGGGGAAGGCACAGGGCCTCCTGATCCTTCCAGCCCCCCCGGCCCCCCCACCTCGGAGTCGCTGGGGGGTCGCTCTCGAGGCCTTCCCTCTGTAGCCACGCACGCAGAGGTTTTGGCTGTAGTGGGCGTGGCCAACTCTGAAGCCAGCCGGAACGCCGTTCCTGTGCGTTCCTGCCCAAAAATAGCCCTGCTGACTCTCATTAACCTATTCATATCAACCGAGGCATTTTCTATTCCACCTACCACATTTGAAGTATTATACTTTTGTTGTAAAATGCAATATGCTTCCATGCTCTCCTGCAGAAATTTTTGAGCTTGCACTTATAGCAAGGTAGTGGTGGTGGAGGAAAGTGTTATCAAGCTGCAGTCAGTTTATGGTGACCCTGATGACGTGTTCAAGGCAAAAGACATTCAGAGGTAGTTTACCGCTTCCTGCCTCTGTGTAACAACTCTGGACTTCCTTGGTGGTCTCCCATCCAAATACTAAACTGGGCCATCCCTGCTTAGTTTCTGAGATCTGATGAGATCGGGCTAGCCCGGGCCATCCAGAGGAGCTTTTTTTAAAAACAACAACAAAACATCAGGTGCTCTTGCAGAAACAGCAAGCAATATGGGATTAGAGGGAACTGTTTTAAACCCAGTATCTTGCTACCTTATTGCATTTTGCTCTGCAGAATGAATGCTAACATTATTCAGCTGCAGTTGTTCCTACTGCTAGTAGCTTAACAAATGTATCTGCTTTAACCGGCCTCTTTTCTCGGACCTGAACCTGCTAATTTACAATCATGGGTTGTCCCTATTTTTCATCTTTGGGGATATTACTGCTGTTTTTTAACATGAGTGGTTAGGACTGTCATTCTTCAGGGTATAGTCTCCCCTCAGGCCCTCCGGAAAGTCGATCTCAGAAGGTAAAATACACTATTTTAAATTAATTTTATGACATCCTGAACTTTAGTTTTCAGTTGAACTTTACTACATCCTCAGTAAATGTTTGCTCAAGCCAGATGCACATTTAAAGTATTTTTATCTCGCGCTCTTTGTTCAAAACTCCTGGGGCAGCTGACGAAAGGCTGAAAGCAAAACAATTAAAAATCACCAAAAGCAGCTGTGTAAATTCAAGTATAAAGCAGCATAGTACTTGTAAAAGATATGAGCAGAGCAACAAAACCATGCAGAGAGTAAAAAGCAGCTTAAAACACAAATCATAAATCAACTGTATCAGATAATTTAAAGAAACCCCACAGACTCCTAAACAAAAAGCCATCAGACAAAGCAAAATGGAATAACTGTGTGCAATCCTATGCAGAAGGATCACACACTGATTTCCAGTTGGTCAGCCGTGTTGGTCTGAAGCAGTAGAACAAATTTAGAGTCCAGTGGCACCTTTAAGACCAACAAAGGTTTACTCAAAGTATGAACTTTCATGTGCATGCACAGCTTATCAAATACATTAGAATGGCAGGGAAGGTTTAGACTTATAGCCTATTAGAAAAGACACCTTTAGACATTAATCTGCTAGTTTGACACATATTTATTGCTTTGTAGCTGTAGACCTTATAACCTTAATTTGTTATTTAGTGTCACTTTGCATATCTTGAACATCATCATGTTACATGTTAATTTGCTGTTCAATCTGTGGCTATAAGTCTGAACCTTGCCTGCCATTCTAACGTATTTGATAAAGTGTGCATGCACACGAAAGCTCATGCCTTGAATAAACCTTTGTTGGTCTTAAAGGTGCCACTGGACTCTAAATTTGTTACACTGATTTCCATGAGTTTAGATTGGAGTGACTTCACATAGGGTTGCATTGTTATTCGACTACAGATCAACCATAAATACAGGGCAGTTTAGTTTAGTTTTATTATTACAGTCTTAAGATCAACATACAGAGTAAGCATAATATGTGAGGGAGTGAGAAGAAACCCCCCAGTCATAATATAAAAAATAGAAATCTGAATTTAAGAACTTTTAAAATGCGATTCCTGCAATCTAAGAATTAATGCACAAAACTCAGTGACTGAATGTGTAATCTCTACATTCTTACCTGATAGGAGCCAGTGAAGCCTTGTTTTGTTTGTGTTAATGTGCCCAGGTGCCCTATCAACTAATGGGGTAATAATTTTAAGATGAGCCTCCCTGTAAAATGGACAGTTGAAGAACATATGCTCTACCGATTCAACCTCGCTTAAAAGGCATGGGCATAGCCTTTCAGAGTAGGGGTTTTTGTTGTACCTACCTTGAATAACCGCAGATGGAAGGGCAGAACATCTAGCTAGGGCAAATGCCCTTCTAGAATTCGTTCCCTCCACTGAAGTCAAATATATCGCCAGCTCAATGGTGCTTTTGATATTTAACAATACCCCAAGTTTGGAAGCCTTAGAGATGTCAGACTGTCGCTCAATATCCTTAACTCTTTGTTTAATTAGTCCTTTGGCTTGTTCAAATCCATAGGATAAGAGTAGCTGAGGTGAGAAACCAATTCTATGAATATGATAGTGAACTGCCTTGATCCAACTGAATTGGAAATCATCCTGGAATATCAGGGGAAGCAAGCCTTGTGGATTGAAATGACCTTTCAGCCACATATAGATGGGTAGAATACATACCCTGGTTTCAGTTCTAAGATTCCCAGACTCTAGTTGTATCCAAGCATTGGATACACAGTTAGGAACTTGCAGAACAGCTCTTAAAAATTTGGACTGAACTCTTTCTTGCAATAATACAGGGCAAATACATTATTTTTGTGAGGCACCTAGACTCAAAAAAGCCTGGTGCCAGATGACATGGCATGCTTCAAGGTGAGAGTTCAAAAGCTGAGGTGCCGCACTAGAAAAGTCACTGTCTCTAATGTCTCACCCTCATTCCGAAAATGCAGACACATCAATAGAGGTGTCTGAGTGAGAACAATCTTAGCTGATAGGCAGACTCGCATGTGAGTAGGTGGTTCATTTGAAACCCTGTTCCCAGACCCTCTAGACTGTAAGGGCAGAACCTACCACACAGCAGATACAAATTGCCAGCCAGTGCAGTTATTTAAGTGTTGGTGAGATGCACTGTTTGTAATATGGATAAACTAACAATCTGGCTGCTGTATTTTGAACCATTTCAAGTTTCTGAACAGTTTTCAAGGACTGTCCTATGTGTAGCACATTGTGGTAATCTAACCCAGATGTGCATGGAAACCTGTCTTATTCCAACTCTGAAAAGAGATACTTTTTTTGTGTCTTTCATCCCTGCCTGTTTTCCTTGCACCTTTGCAGCTGGAAAGTGTTAGAAGTAATTGACAGGTCTGGAAGAATATGGCTACATTCTCTTGTAAATAACTAAAATGTTTTACTATGTAAACCATGAAATAAATACAGCGTTATCACTACCCTGAAGGAAATGTGTGTTTTTTTGCCAACAAATTCATGTTGGCACTCTGCCTACCTGTCTTACTTGGCCAGAGGCTAAAAGCAGCTCTTCCCAACACAAGTGCAGCTCACAAATGATTCACCGAAGTGACTCATGAAAAGTCACAGCTTTTCATTAAGTGCCAGTTATGAGAGGGCGGCAAACTAGGGGTCTAATGTTAGCAAGGAAACCATTATTAGAGAATTTGCAAAAATGTAACAATGGAGAGACATAGACTTACTTGCTTAGGCCCAAAAGCTTAAAATAGCAGACACGAGAGCCCAATGGAGGCCCCCTGACCAAGCTGCAGTCACCTCTTTTCAATAGCGCAAGACTATAGGGTTGCCAACAGGCCTGGAGGAAAAAATTCCTGTCCGGCTGATTTGGCACTAGACCTTAAATCCTGGTTCAACCCTGTCCCCGAACTTACATTCTACACTAGACTCGAGTCACCCCTGTAATTATCCCATGGTATTTTTTGTTTCCACATTACGTTGAGGTCACCCTGGTTTCACCCAGGATAAACGGATGCTGTTATAACCAGGGATAAATGCAAGGTATTGTGTCCCGAGTTGAACTCTGATAAAACCAGGGATGAGTTCCAAGTGCAGAAAGGGCCAGAGGAACTGTGGAATAGAAGAATAGTGGGATAGAGGAAATATGTGGTACTGAACAGCTGAAGCTTTGCATGGCAAGGGAAAAAATGACATCGCCTGGAACACAGCACCCTATTAAGCCTCTATTAAAGGGACAGGACATATTTCTCCAGGCCTTTTGGCAAACCTATGCAAAGCCCTGTGTTTTCCTCACTCCAAACGATCAATCCATTTTTCCATGCCCACTAAGAAAGCAACATAGTCCATTAACAGTCATTGATAGACATCATCATGCCACTGGTTCTTGCTTCTTTCTCACATTTCCCATCCTTTTGAGAGCTATTTAAACTCAAGGCTAGCTTCCGAAACAATAACCAGTATATATTAAATCTGGCCTTATTCTTTCACTTGAGCCAAAGAGGTCATAGCCAAGGGGTTCCTTTTGTGTGTGTGTATCTGCTGAGTTTCAGTTAATAACTAGTTGAAAAAATAATAATGTGGTTAGGCCTTTGATATTCTATAAGCGGAGGAACTGTGGGAAAACAGAGTTAGGTTAAAATTCATGCAACTGAGAAAAAAATTGCCCAGATGGTAAATCTTAACTATATTATGAAATATAGCTTTGGAGATGAATATTTCTACTTGTAAATTGGAAATGTGACAAGTCCTCCCTCAGGCACACATGAGATCTGGTTTTTATATTTTTGACAGGGACAACAACAATTGAGAAATACGACTTGAGGACAAACAGCTGGATACAAATTGGGACAATGAATGGGAGGCGGTTACAGTTCGGGGTAGCTGTGATTGACAACAAACTCTACATCGTGGGTGGGAGAGATGGCTTGAAAACATCCAATACAGTGGAATGCTTCAACCCAGTAACCAAAGCCTGGACGGTCATGCCGCCCATGTCAACTCACAGGCATGGCTTGGGTAAAGATTTCTTTTTTTTAACCTAGTGTGTTCTTAATTTGTCAACTGGGTATTTCAATCTGTGTTTTAATCTTGTTCATTGGACGCTTTATAATTTGTGTCCTTGTACAACCTGGTTGCTGCATTGTTTGCCCTAGGGTTGCCAACCTCCAGGTGGTGGCTGGAGATCTGGGTTCACAACTGATCTCCAGGTGACAGAGATCAGTTCACTTGGAGAAAATGGCTGCTTTTGAAGGTAGACTCTGATGTCTCTGGTTAACAGGGTCAAGTAATAAGTGACACAAAAGATCCATTGCCAGTCTGAGTAGACAGTACTGACCTTGATAGACCGAAGGCCTGATTCAGCCTAAGATTGCTTCGTGTGGTCATGTGTGTGTGTTCATTTAGCCCTCATGGCTGATAACAATGCAATCAGTGAAAGGTTTCCCCAAGGAATGTGTAAGTGAATATGATTCACTACTGTGGAGATACATGGCACTGATGCTCCTACTGGGTGTGGGGTAAAGTGCTGTCAAGTCACAGCCGACTTATGCTGACCCCATGGAGTTTTCAAGGCAAGCGATTAAGCAGAGGTGATTCACCATGGCCTTGGTGTCTGCCATTCTTCCTTGGTGTCTGCCATCCAAGTACCAGGCCTGCTTAGTTTCTGAGATCTGACGAGACTGGGCTATCCTGTACCAATCCATTCCACATACCCAGTGCCTTTACTAGCTATTAGCCATGATTGTCAGTCACCTCGTTGACTCATTAGATGGATGGGTGAGTTACAGATCTATTTGAAAATCCAGTATGATTTACTTATCTGTTTATTCCCTCTCCTCTCCTAATCCTAAGGCGTAGCAATGCTTGAAGGGCCAATGTATGCTGTTGGTGGCCATGATGGGTGGAGCTATCTCAACACAGTTGAAAGATGGGACCCCCAGGCACGGCAGTGGAACTACGTCGCCAGCATGGCGACACCTCGGAGCACGGTGGGGGTTGCAGCACTGAACAGCAAGTATGTATGACACGCAGGCCCACTATTCTTGCAAATAGTGAGACTTCTTAGGAAGAAACAAACACATTCCCCACCAAGATGAAGTTTTCTGCTTAAGGTAATTTGCAAAGAAAAGCTACAGATAGATTCACAAGAATACTGAGCAGGGTAAGGTCATGAGGGCCATTGCAGAGTACGTTGCAAAGTCTCCTCAAGTGGTCAAAATGCTTTTGTGCATCTGTGTATGAACGGAATATAGTCTCCATACTAACTTCACCAGCACAAAGAAATGCAAATATATTTACCCTGCCACGGTGCTAGCTTTGCTCATCTCCCTTCAGCATCTAAAAATGATATGAGACCTGAAAGGCAGCAGGTAGAATACTTGCTTCTCTGATAAGGAATGATTTATTATTATTATTTTGAATTATTTATTTTAAACTTTAAGCAGAACTAATACAATACAATATTTCAACAGAAATTGCTTAGAATACAATGAAAATAACTGATTAGACGTCAAATTAATTTATAACTTTGACTAAATAGCAACAAAATTGAGGTGACTATTCCTAAATTCAACAATGATTCAACACACAAGTGACCGCACTAACGAATCACAGAAATAATATTCCCTTAGGGTGAGAAAAATGGAAAATTGATTAATTGGGGTACCACATTTCAATAAAACAAGAAGCATATTGGTTCAAATCAATCTGGGTTTGCTTCTTATAATATCAAACAGAGATTAAGAAGTGGCTGCCGAAAAGAATTGCCTGTTGACAACTGGCCATATTGGAGGGGTGGAAGATGACTACAGGACCATTAAAAACACAGGAGAGTGGACTCAAAAGGGAAGAGGTTCTGAGCACGTGCCAGCAGTGGCTACAGTTTGTTCACTGGTAGCATCTCTCAGAACTGGTATGACTTAGATGCCACTTTGGAGGCAGGTCAGGTAGCAGAAGCATCAGAAGACCTATCCAGTCAATTTTAATTAAAATTATGTAAAGACAAAGGTTTCTGCTGATTGGAAGGAGCTGGGGTGATTTTTGCCAAGTCTCCCTTCCCACTGCAGGCCTCCACTTCAACCCTCATGTTGTTCCTGAGGGGCCTACTTTCCCACAGGAATGCTATTTCAGGGAGCATTTCAGGCTGCAGTAGAATGGGAAGGAGACACAAATGCCTTCTGTTAGCAAAGATTTACTGTGTGATCCAAGCTATCGTGACGGTTCCATTGCTTCGTATTATGATCTCTTGATTACAAACAGGTGAGTGTCCAAGCACATTAAAGAAAATAATAATTTGTCCTCTCTTAAAGAAGCCCTCTTTCGACAGGGAAATTGTAGTCAATTGTAAGCACATCTCAAATTTACCATTCTTTGGGAAAGTAGTAGTGGAAGAACAATTCTAGGGCTTCCTGAATCAGTCATCTGTTTTACTCTACATTGAGGCCTGCCTTCGGGATGTAAACCAGTCTTGCTGCACTGGTAGCTTGATAAGGGGAATGCATCCCCTTTGATTTTGATAGATCTTTCTGCCATGTTTGATCCTGTCTTGAATGAAAAGTGAAGCACTCAAGATAGAACTATGGAATGAAGTATTTGAAAAATGTATACAATATATAAGATTAAATGCAGTAGATGGCTAGAAATAATTGTAATACAAAATCACACCATATTGAGACAAAAAAACCTCTGATTGATTTTTGTGTGTGTCAAGCATTAAATAAATGTTTCATTGACTTTTGTAGAATGCTTTTTGTTACTTGGAAGGAACAAAACTGACTAGTTTTTTTTTAAACTGACATTTTGTGAGTTGGTATTATTCTTAATAGTCTTGTGTATTGTAGGGATGATTTCAAATCCCTTGCGGTTCCAGGTCGTATTCGGGATGGAGAGGCTTGGCCAGCCTTATACCGCCCCGTTCAAAATGACTACTCATACACAGTTTCTTTGGAAATTAGGTGGATAAAATTGGCCACAACTTTATTGATTACAGCTGTTATAGGCATTGGCACGGCATTAGTCCACCGGATCCGACCCTTCGGCTGACCCTTCTGCCAGCCGAGGTATCCGTTACCCAGCCAACCGGCATGGGTAGAGACTGCGGGATTGCAGGTTGCCGAGGTTCACCTGGATGCCTGCCTTTGTGTTAACTCCCCTGCCACCTAGTGGTGAGGGCCATCGCTGTTAGTACTTGCGCTTGCCTGCTCCCTTCGACCTCACGCCAAGACCCTTACAGGGGTCCCCACCTCCGGAAAATGGCACACAGGCCGATTACCACCAAATGGATCCGGCCCCATGCTGTCACCGCCGAGAGTTGTGACAAGCTGTGTACCCCGGAACTAAATATCGAAAACTAACAACACACAACCCAGAATGACCCGCAACCCCGTTTACAGTAACCTCGCCTGCTAAGTCCTGACCCTTACAAAGGCCCAAGAAACAGGGAGGGACGGGTCGGCAAGCAGCTCAAGCCGCAACAGAAAGGGGGGTGAGGACGGCGAGTGGTCCGGGTCATGCATACCTGCGCCTCTCCCTCTGGCCACCCCGCTGCCCGGCGATTGGCCCAGGGAGGGAGGGGAGGTGCCTACCTCCCCGCAACTCACCTGGCCCCACCCTCCCTGGCCTGGTGACTGGCCAGCCTTGTCCCCCCCTGCCTGGGCCCCGCAAATGGTGGGCCTCGCCTACCCGGGCCCTTTCTGCTCATCTCCTGCTTTGACCCCAAAATCAGCTTTGCTTTTCCCTTGCATGCATTGAAGACACTGCTTTTGCAACATTTACTGTTTCCTCACATTACCTCCATATGCATTTTTCAATGTTATTCATGCACCAATACATGGTCATTATATAATGAACATAGATTATGTATGCCATACATACAAATAGCATATGTATTACATATGGAAACAAAAGCACATGCACATAATTGAAATGAATCAACAAAACTGACCATAAACAGCAGAGAACTAGCCATTGAAAAAATATAAATGAAGATAAAAACAAATAAAATAGGGAAAATGTGTTTTCCCCTATCATTTGTTTACCCCATATAAAATTTGTTTACCCCCTTAAATTTTTTTTTCATACCAGCAGAGAAAGCCACAACTCTGCAAATCCCTAGCACCGTTTCCAGGTGTTGATTGAACAATGGAGGAAAAAAATACCCTATCCATGTCAAACAAAACATCCCCATGAATGCATAGCTGATGCGAGTTGGGGAACTGGATGACCCACCCAGTAGATATCAGGGCAAAGAAAACACGAATGCTTTAGAAATAGACTTAATTTCCAACAGAGCCATTTGAATCTTCTGGGCAGCAGATAAGGTTTTCGTACAACCACTTCATTCTTCTGTGCTTTGCTTTTGAAGGTTGTATGCTGTTGGCGGGCGAGATGGCAGCTCTTGCCTGAAATCCATGGAGTGTTTTGATCCTCACACCAACAAGTGGAGCATGTGTGCATCAATGTCAAAGCGGAGAGGAGGAGTTGGAGTTGCAACGTACAATGGGCTCCTGTATGCCGTGGGAGGCCATGATGCTCCGGCTTCAAATCACTGCTCTCGGCTTTCTGATTGTGTAGAAAGGTAAAGGGGAAGAGAGAAAATTCTTGCTGTCTTTGGTGCACATTGTTTGATAAACCAGAAATCAGATCAAGAGCTCAGAGCTCAAACTAGAAATGATGGCAGGAGATCAACGATATGATCTGTTGCTGGTTTTTTTCTTGGGGGAGGGTTTCCTAACTTCAGAGCAGCTTCACAGGGCTGTGGGTGAGATGGGGAAGTTGTGCTGGGTGCACATGCTTAGCCCATACCCCCTGGCGCTAGGGTTGCCAGGTCCCCACTGGTGGGTGATGGGGGGGTAGGGTTGGGAAACTCCTGGAGATTTGGAGATGGAGCCTGGGGAGGGCAGGGGTCTCAGTGGGGTAGAATACCATACAGTCCACCCTCCAAAGCATTCATTTCCTCGAGGGGAACTGATTTCTGTAGCCTGGAGATGAGCTGCAATTCCAGGGGATCCCCAGGTCCCACGTGGATCCTGGCATCTCTGGCCCCCGCACTATTTCCCCCAATCTCAATGGCCCCTTTTTGACCAGCTGGGGTAAATGAATGGATACCATAAGAACATTTGTATTTTTCACCCCTCCCCCCAAACAGCTTCAGTACCTCTGCTTGGCTGCTTTTTAAAACAGCAGTTTATGTGTGGGAGAACATAAGATGAGCCCTGTTGAATCGGGTCAATAGTTTACTGAGTCTAGCTTCACACAGAGGCCAGCCAGACACCTTAGGATGCCTATAAGCAGGGCACAGAGGCCAAGGCCACTGTCCACCCCCCCCCATAACTGCCATTCAGAGGCATACAGCCTCTCAAAATGGAGAAGGAGAGATTGGATTAGGGCTGCCAAGTGGGGGCGGATGGTGGGTAAACCCCCGCTTTGGAGGCCCGATTTCCGCCGCCGCGGAATTGGGCCCTGGGGGAAACCCCACCCCTGCGTGCATGTCACCAGGAAGTGACGTGGGCACGCCGGGCACACTGGGGGCGGAGCCACGGCCATACAAGGGAAAACTCTATGGTTTTCCCTTGTATGGCCGTGGCCCCACCCCCAGCGTGCCTGGCATCCTCCTGTCACTTCCGGGTGACGTGCGTGTGGCGCGCGCGCGCACGCACAGGATGTCGGCCGGAAGCCCCCTGCTTCTGGCGAAGATACACTTGGCAACCCTAGATTGGATTTGTACCCCACCCTTCACTACCCGAAGGAGTCTCAGAGCGGCTTACAATCTCCTTGAGAGAACAGCTATGAGAGAACTTGTGACTGACCCAAGGTCACACCAGCAGCTGCATGTGGAGGAGTGGGGAATCAAACCCGGTTCTCCCAGATTAGAGTCTGCGCTCCTAACCACTACAGCAAACTGGGTAATAATTAATAGCACTGGCACTTAGGCGCTCCTGTGCTGACAGATTTCTTACTTCCTAGTTTATCATCCTCATTTACTTCATTTATACCCCACCTTTTCCCCCAATGGGGACCCAAAGCTGCTTCCATTGTTCTCTCCTCCATCTTGTCCTTACAACAACCCTGTGAGGGAGGCTAGGCTGCGAGTGTGTGACTGGCCCCAGGCCACCCAGCAAGCTTCTGGGGTGGAGTGAGGACTCCAACCTGGGTTGCCCAGATCCCAGTCGGACACTCTAGCCACTGGGGCATGCTAGCGCCACAGTAGTTCGGCCTTCTGTGTTGTCCAGCCTGAAACTCACCTTAAGGGGCCACAGACAGTGTTGCTTCAGAAACTGAGGCCGGCTGCCGCATGTTAAGCAAGTGCTGCTATCTTAACTCTAATTGTATTCACATGTCATTGTAGCAAGGGAACTGTTGTGGAGAGAGTTTAGGACTGATGGGGCCTGGATTCTCTCTGGTGCTCAGCCATGAAGCTCCTCACGTGACCCTGGGCCAGGCAGCTCTCTATCCCTTGTGAGGATAAAATGAGAGAGAAAGCTGGTTTATACCCAGAGCTCCTTGGAGGAAGGTGGTGGTGGGGAGAAATGTGATAAATGCAGTTCAGTGCTCTGACATCAGTTTATCTGTAGCTATGCAACCAGGACCTGCTTGAAGAAACTCTCCTGCATTGCCTGACCCCCGGTCTGACAGATTTCAATCATATCCCATGGCTCTGACAGGGACTTGTGATGCTAAAAAGCCACACTGAGCCCCCTCCACACCCTGGCTCCCTTTGTGCCCCATGTAAATTCTATTAACATAAAAGAGAATGCGCAAGACAAATTGAATGCACTTTCAGGCCAGTGTAGGATGGAATTTGCACCGCATTCCAATTCAAGCCCATTATATTAAAAATATCCAGGGGTCATTTCCTGCGGGAGCACACAGGAGCGGAGTTCTGGCAGTAAGGAGCCCATTGGGTGTTCACATGCAAGAAGCCCCACCCCCTGCTCCCAGCAGTCCTCAGTCAGGCTACGAGGAGCAAGAAGCAGCCAGGTAAGTTGCAGAGCCCCCCCCCCCGGCCCGCCTTCAGGTACCAGCTCTCCCTCTTCTGTGAGGGCAGATCTGCATGTTCCCCCCACCCCCCACTAGCTAGCAATCCAAAACAGTCCAGTGAAGCCTGAGCAGTGGGTGTTGCCTTCTGACACACTTCCGGTGATGTCAGGGGGCGTGGCATATGCAAATAAGTTATGCTAATGAGTTATGCTAATGAGCTCCTGCACCTTTTTTCCTACGAAATGACCCCTGAAAATATCCTTTATTTCTCTTTACGCTCCTTTTCCTTAAAACATTTTAATGTGCTTGATGAATGTTAGGCTGGCCTATTGCCGAAAACACACTAGGGAATCTTGAGAAATATTAAAGGTGAAATTGATCGTGCAGAACGTTTTCGCATGGATCATATGCCCTGTATTTTAGCACAGGGGTACTGGATGCCAGCCAAGGGCTGCAGCAGTTGGACATCACAGAAATCACAGCTGCAAGGGCTGCAAGCATAAAGTGGCTGATTAACTAAATAAGCTTGAATGGATTAACTGGTGGAAGCCACTCCCCCCCCCCCCCCAACAAGGAAGGGCACATTTATGGGGGGGGGGGGCAGGAGGCTACTTTGATTCTGGTGTGTTTCTGTAAATGGGGAATGAAAAATAAGCAGCCCTTCCTTTTGACAGTGGTTTAGATACAGAGAACAGAAGAACTGCCATTAATGTCGTTCTATGGCCCCAGTCACACATTAGGCACGCTAGAGAGACGGAAGATGGACGGATTTTCCGGGCGCGATCTCACCGCCACATCTGGGAAGTGTAGCGCTCCCGTGGCGCACCCGAGGCTTCCCGCCGAAGATGCGGGGTAAAAAACTAGTACCTCGGAGGTACTAGTTTACGGAAACCGTGGGGCAAGGGCGGGCGTCTGATCGCATTTCCAGTGGTAGTTCCGGCGCTCGCCCATGTCCCCTCACAAAAGGTCCCCCCCCAAGTCTCCACGGATGCGCACAAGCACCCAATGGAGCATGCACCCATTTCAGTTAAAAAACCCCCACAACCCCTTGCCGCGCCGCTCCGCTTCTTTGCCGCGTTGTGTGATCAGCACCTCCCCCCTAACCACGGGAGCTTGACGGGACCTCAACCCGACGCCTGATCGCGCAGTCGCGCGTTAGTTTGCTCCAGGGCAAACAGCCACGCCTCCCCCCGCGCATTTTCCTGCCCGTGTGGCCGGGGCCTATAGATGTTTTACATATGCAAGACGCTGCATAAGCAGAACAGCACCTTTGGATTCAGTTTCCCTGAATGGAAGGTGCCTTCTGCAGACCAAAGAAATCCTTTGGAGCTAACCGGACAATTTATATATGTGTTTATTTTCACACACCCCGCCTTTCTTTGGGGACCCAAAACACCTTACATGACTCTCCTCTCTTCCATTTGATTCTCACAACAACCCTGTGCGGTAGTGTCACGGCTCAGGTGGGTTGTCACCTGATGCTGCCACCGCTGTGGTTTTAGGATCCCTTGAGAAGGCCCAGAGCACTCTCCCAAGACCTTCAGACCTCGCTTATTTATAGGGTTGCCAGCCTCCAGTTGGGGCCTGGGGATCTCCCGCTTTTACAACTGATCTCCAGCTAACAGAGATCAGCTCCCCTGGAGAAAATGGCTGCTTGGGAGGGTGGACTGCATGGCATTGTACCATGCCGAGGCCCCTCCCCTCCCCAAACCCCGCCCTCTCCTGGCTCCACCCCCAAAGTCTCCAGGTATTTTCCAACCCAGACATGGCAACCCTACTTATTTGGCCAAATAATAGGTGTGAGGACCAGGCAGAGTAAACAATAAATAAAAGGTTTATTTTTACAGGAGGTCAGTCAAATATAGGAAACAACAAGGTGCAAGAACAATAGCAATAAGTGGGTGAAGAGAAAAGAAACCAAATGCCCTAACGCGACTAGACTCACAGTCCCTAGCCCATTGTCTCAGTTGGGCCTCAGTCTGCTCACCCTTCCTCTCAGGGTTAGGGTCTCTCCCAGCAGCAGCCTTCCTTCTGGCCTTGCTCTCTTGGAAGAGAGAACAGCTCTTCTTCTGTACCAGCTCTTTTGTTATAAGTCCCGTTTCTCTGTGATTAGCTAAAATTGGCACCAAAACCTCTCCGGGGCTTCTGGGAGTTGTAGGCCTGGCCTCCTCCCAATGCTACTCAGGCTCTAGGCTTCCCAAGTCCCCCTGGGGGGGCGGGGAAACCCCCGCCCCAGAGGCCCGTTCC